AAGTCATTTATAAAATAATAGTATTAGGGCCACATTGAGGAAAAAAAAGAAATCTGAAATTTGGAGAAGTCGCAATTTGGAGAATAAAATCATAATACTTCAAGAATAAAGTTGTAATATTATGAAAATTAAAAATGAACCCTTTTGAGAGAATAAAAACTTTTTAGGAATATTACAAGCAACCAATAAAACGTGTGAAAGGACAGTGACTGGCAGCCTGAGCTGCTTCTGGCAGCTGCTTTTTGTCTGTTTAACAATAGAATAGACTCAGTTTCTTGCACAATCTTTTCAAAGTCCTGATGCTGATGTGATACTGATGTGCCCAAAGATGAAGCATCTGCTTATTTGTGAAACCTCTGCTACAGTACAACTCCACGGGACGCTCCACGAGCCTCATTTGAAAGCAGGTTAACGCTGCTGCTCCTCTGATGTTTCCCCTCTAACACAACACCTCACCTAAAATCACCACGTTATTCTCATAATATTAAGACTTTTTCCTCCTAAAATTAAAACTTTAGTCTTGTAATATTATGACTTTATTCTCGAAATCTCAATTTTTTTTTCCTCAATGTGGCACTAATACGCCATTGTAAATAATAAATGCTCAAGCTCACAGTGATATTTCAGACACTGCAGTGTTTTACTGTGACCCCAATGTTCTTATTATAGAAATGATGTTTATATATTATTAAATTGTTTCCCACTTATGTTTTAGTGACAGGATTGACTGGATTATGTTCGATGAAAAAACTTTTTTTTTTTTTACTGAATGAAGCGTTAACACGGTGTTGCTAATTTTGTTTTTGTTTGTTTGTTTTTTAGCCACCAGAAAGCGTGGAGTGATGTTGAATTATTGCCGCTCTTTGTCAGGTTGAAGGGGAACACATGCTAAGTGAGTAATGGAAAATAAAGTAATAAAGGAACAGTTTGACATTTTAGGGAATTCTCTGGAGAACACGTGTCGGATCAGTTTCATCTGTGTATGAATCAATTATGGCTTTTGAAAGTAGACGTGTCTGATTTGAAATGGAGACCTCTTTCTAATTTAAATGTCATGCCGACGGTTGCCGTCGAGCGATAAGACGCTTAACTCTTCAATTACACAGCATTTGAGCTCTTAAGTATCCTTTAAATGTCAAAGTCTCACACTCATGTCATTAAAAACAGAAGAGGCCGTTGTGTTGAATGTGATGTGAGACACGCCATCGTCTCCCTCCGGGCCACAGAAATCCCCCCCCAAAGGGCTGCCGAGGAGCAGCTCGGAGTCGGAGAGCAGCGGCCTGACGCCAGACGCCGCCTGAGCGAGGAGAGGTTAACAAGAGGAACGCTCTGACTTCGACCTTCACGCATAAGAAGTAGTTTGTGCAGCAGAGTTAAAGTTAAACTCATGCTCAAGTCTGCTAGTGTCTGTAAATGTAACTCTGAACTTCTGCTGCTGTAAGAAGTTTCAGACACTTTTCAAAATAAGACTTCCTCTGAACAGCGGGAACATGCTGCCGTTCAAAGCGCCAGAGAGAAATTGTGAACAAGGGGCATCAGCGTTTGTTGTGTCTGAGGAAACTCTCCTATTTCCACACTGACAAGGCCATGATGACCTTACTCTGCCGCGCTTTTCTTGAATCGATTTGATCTTTTTCTCTGGCGTCATGGTTTGGAAGTCTATTTTTAAAGCGCAGGAATTCTCTGAATCCAATTGTTAAACGGTCCAGTCAGCTGACTGGTCGGTCACAGCTGTGGCGCTGACTCGATGCTGTTTCAGCAACAGTCAGTTAATGTCCCTGTGCACAACGCCAGCTTCATAAAGAAATGCTTTTCCCATTCAGGTGTGGAAGAACTTGACCGGTCTGCACAGAGCCCTGATCTCGAAAGCTGACCGCGAGCCAGACCTGATCACCGCCAACATCAGTAACATCTGCTGGAAGACAGTGACAGCAGAAGAGTGGAGGCTGTTAGAGCAGCAGGTGAAAAGCCAGTGGTTGGGATGTGTCCACATATTTTTGTTGTATCTCATTGGATTTGTTACGAGATTCAAATCCATCCGGTGGTTCTCAACTTCCAGAGAAGTCAACTCTAAGGACATGAAACCCATTTTAATTGTTCACTCTTCAGCCTGACGCCGACAAACTCGACAGCAGAGTAAACTTCATTTCCTGGATCACCAACATTACAATGAGTTATGTAAAGGTCACAGACGGACAGCGCTCATGTCATCCATGCACCGTCGTAATTTGCATTTGCAGAACTCATTCTGCACAATGTCAACTCTCATCTAATAGAAAACTACCCTGTAATAGCACACTGCAGCATAATGGCCAATTTATGTCCATTCAGAGCCAAAACTAAACCCAGGGGGACCTCCCTCGCAGTACATTAAATAACCAATTTGCAGCGAAAACGTCATTACGGGAATAGTTCCGTGCCAAACGATGTCATTACAGTAACGACAGGCACTCTTGCATGGCGCGGCGGATAGATACGGGCGCACGGCGGGCTCAAACATCAGTCAGTCATTGTGTTCGGAGTCCTTCATGCCTGGCTGCCCGACACCATGAAGTTAATGCCGCCGACGCCATTATGGAGGAAGTGCCTGCTGTCAGTCCTACTGTATAATGGCAGCGCCAACGCTCACTCCCCGGCTTAATCGCTGCATATTTAAACTGGAGTTTCACAATGGAAGTGTGAAGAATGAGCTGAATGTGGCTGATGTTTGCCGGAGTGTGCCATCGCTTTTTTTCAATTTTTTTTTTTTTTTTTATTGTGTTATGGTGCCATTAACTCCCTGGGTGATCGCTGCAGGCGTCAATAAAATCTAAAACTTAAATGACACGGTTAATCACGACACAATTAGTGCGAGTCAAGAGATGAATCTCAGGAAGTATGAAAATTAATCCGCCGGCGTCGCTCGAGCCTCCCGCTGCTTTACATCTGCTGCGCTGTAATCACGTCAGTCAGCCGGGGCTAATCACCGCACAGTGAGGTGTAGTTCTGTCTGCAAAGTCATACTTAACGGAAAGGGAAATTCAGACAGGAAGTCATTGTTTGATAACCTGCTATGTAAGTGACTGCAGGGCTTCACTTCCACACTCACATCCTGCTGCTGTTTCAGTGATTAAAGAGGGAAATTAGAGGCTGAGGTGAAGCCGCAGCAGCGGCGTGGAAACGCACCTGAGCTCAGTTAGTGTGGAAACATGGTTGACGGTGATATCTCTCTCCTCCAGCTGCAGTGCAAGTGTTTACATGTGCACAGGTGAGTTCCTTCATCTGCTCCGATGTTAACATGAAAATAGTGATTAGTGCGGCTTTAAGTTCCAACCTACAGTACATGTTTACTTTCTAAAGTGCAGTTTTCTACAGTAGAGGCCTCGTGTGTGTGTGTGTAGCACAGCAGCTCTCGGTTCTCCGGCTCTCAGAACTCCACTGCTCGTCTTTTTTTAAACAGGTACTTTTCATTCCAGTCGACTAACAGGGCCTCATTTAGATGCCAGGTGAATGCAATTAACTTAGGAGGCAGAATACAAACCCAGCCACTCTCTAAGCTCCGAGGACTCTGGGCTGAGATCTGCTGCTCTTTAAGCAAAAAAAGAAAAAAAAAAGCTCCCGAGGACTCAGTGTGTTTAGAAGCCGCAGCTCTCTGATAGGATCAGGCCTGCTCGGCTTAAAAAAATCAGCAACCAGTTCCCTGCAGGAAGGATGCAAAAGAAAAAAGAAAAATATAAACATGACAATGTCAAATAGAGCCAGTGACTGACTGGAAAAAGGCTCAGGGTCTCTAGATAAAAGACGTCATTCAGACCTGGATTAAGCAGATAATTTAAAATACGTTTTAGTGGTGAAAAAGAGCAATTAATCATTTATCTCGTTCATTTTCGCTTAATCCTCTTTTGTCGTTGTACTCCTCAGAGCGTGGTGCCCTGGTCCGCTCACCTTGTTCTTCTTCATCACTGCTGTTCTAACTGCTGACGCCATGCGGCCACTCGAGTTCACTTCAAGTGCCCCTGAAAGACGAACTTAGCTCGTGTCAAGTAGAGAACGCATCAGAAATCTCTGTGTGTGCTCCGTCCTGCTGTCTCACAGTCCCCCCTCTCTGGCTTTAATCACAGTAATGCAGCTTATAGAGACTTAATGGGATTCACTGCGTGGGTCTGCTGTCGCTCTGTGAATGACAAAACCCAGGCTGGTTCACAGGCAGGACTCCTGACAGTCAGGTAGCGGCCGAGCCGTGGCCATGAATACAGAGCAGGCGGCCCGGCGCGGCGGCGCTTTGATCTGCCGGACTGTAATCTGGTGGAGGGTAATAATGTCAGTCTGACAGACGAGCTACTGTACATCAAGACCAGTCAGTCCTGCTGTAATAACTGAATTTCTTCTGGTTGAGTTTGAGCTTGTTGGTGGAGGGAGAGGAGAGAGAGGAGGTTCCTCAGACTCTCTAATAACTCCCTCCTGCTCCTCTGCTCAGGTCTGGTTTTACTTCTCTTTACAGACATTCACTCTTACAGGACCATCCTGCTGGACATTTACTCAATCCACACTCTGTCAGTGGTGGTGATTGGATGGTTATTGATTCTTCTTGAAAATAAGATCAGATTAGTTAGATCCGATTAATTGTGAATGAGTGAATTTCAGATTCAGCTGATAACAGACAGATTCCTCTCCACTCTCTTTATTTTACCTGTCCATTCCTGTTGAAGAGCTGTAGTACCTCACCTGTCCACAGGTGGTTCTACTCAGTCACCAACACCATGTTCTCTTTTGGTTAAACATTTTTCTGTGCACAGAACTCTCTCTGTCTCTTTCCCATGATTCTCTGCTGCTGAATAGTAATACAACGAGGAAGAAGAAGAAGAAGAAGAAGAAGAAGAAGAAGAAGAAGAAGAAGAAGAAGAAGAAGAAGAAGAAGAAGAAGAAGAAGAAGAAGAAGGAGGAGGAGGAGGAGGAGGAGGAGGAGGAGCAGAAGAAGAAGTAGAAGAAGAGGAAGAAGAAGAAGAAGAAGACTTTCTTACCGTAGGCGGAGTCGGCTCCAGACTCTTGGTTCCGTGTTGTCGCCAAGACGTCGGCTGCACAAACACCACAAAGCACAACACAACCACAGTCACATTGTGTCACACAAAATACATCCATGTCCTTAAAATCCTCACATTCATCTTTTTTACTGTCCAATTTACCGCCTGTATCACTGCTGTAGTTTTACAGACCACTGATTTTGACACTGTTTACACCTCATATCGGAGCTGTTATCATCATTATGGTGGCTGTAAAATGCCAGGTTTATCTTACCGTGGCAGCTGTCTGGGTGAAACGAGTGGTCGCCCTCGATATCCTGTTCAAACCCCGCCCTGCGCACACGCACACACAGACACACACACACACACACACACACAGAGAGAGAGCAGAGAGAGGGGGAGACAGGAATTTAAACAAAAGAATAAAACATTGATTGAAGAACAAAACCAGACATAGAGCCTCCCTCTCATGTTGGTTGCCGTGGGTTACCACTGCCTGGGAATTTAATCAATGATGTGTATCCACGGTGACCAGAGTTAAGACAACGTTAATTACATCATGTCACGCAGTTCATCTCCAGCTCATCATTTAGTTTTAGATTTTCTGAGGTCGACTGAGGAGAAAGAAACAATGAATTCACCTTTTCTGGTCGTCCAATTAGGGGAGAGGAAGGTGAGAACTGTCCAATCAGAAGACAGATAGCGACAAGAGGTGACCATGAAACACACACTCACACACACTGAGTTTCAGCGGCAGTAAAGTGAAGCGGTGTGTATCTCAGTAAATGAAGCCATTTACTTTCCTCTCAGTGTCTCCGGCTCTCGGTTTGTGTCCCTGCTGTTTACTGTCTCTGCCGCTGTCGCCACCGACGCTTCCACCTGACCTTCAAATCAATTTTTAAAGGGCCAACAAATCAGGTTTTTACTGCCACATGCCGCCAAACGACTGCAGCGTAAGAGACGAGGAGAAGGGAGACTGGTTCTGTTACTCACACCGCTCAGCAGCTGCAGCCGACACAGGTCGGACATGAAGTCACCTGTCAGAGCGGATGAGGCCTTTATTCCTAATCTCACCAAACTCAGCACTTCCTCCATGTTTACCTGTTGTTCGGACAAATTACTTTTTTTTTTCTCTCCGTTGCTATTAAGATACTGTCACTGAAAATCACTTCCTGCAGATGTTTCATATTAAAAGATTTCCAGCGGTAGTCCCTCCCTGTCCTGATAGACTTTTAATGTGAAAAACCTGCAGGGAGTATTGTGTCACTGATGGCATCTTAATTCATTTAGAAGCGACATGAATGAATTTGTTAAAACGAAACAGTATTAAACAGTAGTAGTAAAGAAGAGCAGCAGAGTTGTACTGATGGAGTTAGTGCTGTGGTGGAAGTTGACATTAAATACAGTTTATGGCTGTTATTTGAGACTCTAATTTTATTGGTACACTGAGTTTTATTTGAGAATTTAAACTAAACCAAAATAGACATGACCTCCTCATCTGGGCTCAGGTGAATGTGGATTAGTTTTTGCAAACACAGAAAGGCTTCTTCACTAGGTCTAAATTTTTGTGAAGAGATGAATTTCTTAAAGAAATAGCGACGAAGCAAAACCCTGCATACAGGGTGTGATGTATCTTTCATGAATATGAGGTGTGTAAAGTCGACAAGAACGTGCTCGTGCACATGTAAATTCCATGACAAACTGCCCATGACAAAGACGGAAGAAGTGTGATGTAACAAAGCCACAAAAGTAAGGAGGTCGGAGTGAGAAGACCAGTTCAGAACATATGAAGAATTCTTGGCTTTTAAACAGAGCAACGCTAACACCATGAATGGCGATGTTTCACAGGAACATGGGAGACAAGAACAGATAAGAAAACAGACTGAGAGACTGGACAAGTGTCTGACTTTAACACTGGGGATCTGCTGTTTGCAGATTCTTTTAACAAGTAACGATTTAGTCCTTTAACCAAACCTTAAACATAAAATATATGAAAAAACAGTAATTATCTTGTTGATTTCATGGAAATCTGACCAGTAGTTTAGTTTAGTTAGCTAACAAATTGCTCAGTGTTGGACAGATGGACCGACATCTCCATCCACCCACAAGCAAAAATATAAAGCCTATTAATATAATTATATGAAATAGTTCTAGTACGGTTCTTATTATTTCATCCTGATACAAAAACAAAAGCGGGAACATTTGGCAACGCTTCAGTGAACCAAATTACAGTCATAAACCATCAACAGGAAGTTACCGTGGGAGGCTTGATGTTTTGTGGAGGTGAGAGGATATTTTCCCAGAAACATTTCAGAGGCTGAAAAGGTACTTTGTTTTCAAACTGCTGTGCTCCGAGACAGAAGCATTCATCAGCCTGATCACGCTGAGCCCACGTCCTGATTTATTTGGCACGACGTGTTTCCAGCTCTGTTTATCACGTTCTGTCTGTATTGGAGAAAACATTTTCCACCTGAGTGACTGAGAGAAGAAACACTTATTCTAACTTTTTGTTCCTGTTTAATAAAAGTGACAGAATGACTTCACTGTTCGTCCTCACCTGCCCATACTCTCTCTCTCTCTCTCTTCTTTGTTTACCAGCTACTCTCTGTTCTCCATTCCATCTTGTTCTGCTTGTGGTTTCTCCATTCTTCCCTCCTCCACACTCTCCCTCCATCCGTCTGCACTAATTCTATTGTCTCTCTTTGCGTGTTCCTTTTTGACATCACCTCAGTCAGCAGTGCAATGGTGGCAATGCTGCAATCAAGAAAGGTTCTGAGAACGCAGACCGGCACCAGGGCCCGGGGGTGGCGGGTTGGGGTGGGGGGGTGGGCACTTATCACGACGGTCTCTCCTCGAGCGACACTCAGTTAGCTGTTCACGCGACAGTGCACACCTGGGCTCCTCTCTCACGCTGTCACATAGCCAGATCCCCCAATCCACTGCGAAGGAGGTGGGTGGTAATATCATTGTTGTGGTTGGAGAAGTTGATCTGAGTGATATGAAATTAGACTTTTGCGAGGCGTGTAAAGTCTAATGCCGCACCTGTGTTAAGTCATTGGAAGAATGCCTTCAGTTTCTGCGGTTAAGGATCTGGGTGCTGTTTTACGTGATAGCCTATGCTCTTTATCATGAGTGCATATGACCCAGTGACGGGATGCCCTCACCTGGCATATCGGACCGCTACATGAGGTCGGGATGAGCACACCTTGATCGACGATAGTTTGATTCGCAGCCGTTCGAGTCTTAGCAAAAGTATGTGATCTCTACCAACGACAAGGATGCGTTGAAGAAATTCCCGCTGGCATGTGTAGGTTTATTGAATACAGCGCTGGTGGACGTCGCTCCTACTGAATCCGCATATGTATTGAGGCAAGTGTCAGTGAGTGATTAGAAGAACAATCAGTGGGCTACCACCGAGAAGACGGCACACCTAAGCGGATGGTTAATTGTTGAACAGCGTATGATAGGGAGTACGCGAGGTTTCCACAGAGTTGGGAGCCAGAGCCCACACTTAGTCTTGGTCCGGCACGAGCCCAGCTGTACTTTTCTGCTGGCTCCAACACGACTCGATAGGATAAATCTAGTTAAAGGTCCCATTTTTGTTTATTATAGTAAGCGGGTCTAATGGCTCATATTAATAGCTAGTGTAAAGTAATGATGTCTCAGTCCGCGAGAGAAATGTACACAGCCTGTGTCACGAAGACTGAGCCCTAAAATGGCCGACGGACTTTGGTCACTTGTGAATGTCAACAACAGATCAGCCACCGCTCTAAGCCCGTGCCCACAGCCCGCCGAGCCTGGACCCACCATCCACCTTGCAGGATTTGATTCTTGGAAATGTTTTACTCTGAAATCCGCTATATTTTTATTCGACTGCACAGTCATCTAAACAGTCAGACACAATCAGAGGAGGCGGCTCAAGGCCTCTCGTCTGATTGGTGGATCAACCTTTGTACTGAGAGCTCCAGAAGAAGCCTGAGAGAGACATTGAGATGGGTTTTTGGCTTAAAACACAAATATATCTCTCTTATGGATCAAGCACTTCTTGAAATCAAGAACAGGAGTGAATATAAGGTCAAATATGGGACCTTTAATGACTGGCACCAGCTCTTCTAGACATTCTAATTTAAATAAGATCAATAAATTAACTTCTGAATTCAAACATTTTTTTGGATATGCGATACTCAGAAGAGAATGATTACAAGTGTTTTTACAGTCAACATCTCAGTCGCTTGTTCCTGTGCCGGGCAATGCAAACGTGTCTTGAGAAAGCCGGGTGCTATAAGGAATTCACGTCCACACACTGATTGGTTGGTGAGCTCCGCTGCAAGGTGCTGCGAGTCAAGGAGTTTCAGGGTCTTGATTGACTTCAACATGTGGACAGAGCACGCCGGGGATCAAAACATCAAACCCTGTGAATGGTGAATCGAACTCACTCTGGCTCCTGAGCCACAGTTGCCCCCGACCTCAACCCCCCATCCACTACCTTTAGAAACGAGACAGCGAACGGCAGCTGTGAAGCAGAACTCATCACCAGCTACACTGATGTGTCTGAATGTGACAAAACCCCCACAGTACACATGTGTGGGGAATATTATTCACGCCGTGTCTGCATACTTTTTCATGTAGCTCACATTTTCTTCTCACCTTAGCAAACAACAGGCTTCTGCTCTTAGATTTCCCCCACACACACCACCAAAACCATATAACGCAGAGTACCACAGGATCACATTCGCCAAATCAGTTGATTTACTGCGAACAGGAACTGTGGAACATTTGATCGTCACTGTATCATACAGGAAAGCTCTAACATGCTTGGGATTTAATTATCGAAATCATTGATGCTTTCGCTCCTCCCCCCCCTCAACTCATCTATATTGTACCTCTCCTCACCTCACTTAATTGCTAACGTCTCCGCACCCCACAGTCACTCAATTTTTTCTCCCTTATCACTCATTCTCTTCCTCTCACTCATCACCATCTTTCCTCGGTCCTCGAGCTAACATTCCACCAAGCGTGGGCTGAGCTGTAGTGAGAGAAAAAGGGAGAGAACAGGAGGAGGTTTGTTGCGACGGCGAGCGGCTATAAATCCTGAACCCTCTCGGGCACCTAAACGCCTCGTTCATCTGAGCTGGGGAAGCGATTCGGAGGAGGGGAGCAGAAATAGACTCAGTCGGTTTATAAAATACAGCCAAGTTATCAGATGCTAGTTACGTTGACTTAAGTGACGAATTTGTAGTTTATTATGTTCTTCG